TGTCACAGTGCGGGAAGATCGAGAGCATGTCACTGGCGAGCTGTGCTGGCGGTGTGGCGAAACTGAACACTGGCTATTGCATCCCGATGGTCGGGCTTGGCACCTACAAGATCACTGGTCAGCAGGCGGTCAGTGCGGCTGTGGACGCTGCCCTGCAAGCCGGATATCGTCTGTTTGATACGGCCAAGTACTATGTCAATGAGCCAGAACTTGGCAATGCACTACAGGTTATATTTTGCTTTGTCAGCCCTCTGCAACAATGCTGTTTTCCATGCATTTGGAAAAGTTACCATCTGTGCAAGCGTTTCAGAAATTTTGAAGATACAAACAATGAATTTATCCCTGTCTAGGAGCTATTGGAAGAGGACGGGGGCCTGAAATCGCGTCTATGTATTAGCAGTTTGTTTGGCGTTGCTGGCGGCCCAGCAGCGTGGAGAGGAGGAACACAATCGAATTTTGATAATTAATGAAAACACACACCGGAAATTGTGCCATTTAGATCTCCCAAATAAGCAAACCTGTATGTGCAGTGACTCGGCAACTTGAGCGAACAGGACATGATTTAACCACTTTTCCAGAAATTCCAGTTAATCGCGGCAGGGCGTTTTGGGCCGCATCGATTAATTTAATGGAAAAAATATAAATTTTTAACTGCCCTTGTCTTCCGATTTTTGAATGTTTTGTTATTTCTTATTCCAAATGGCATATTTTTAAACGGCACACAATAATTACGACCACTTCTGTGATTACTCTTATCACTACTACCAGTACTGTTATTTTTTTGTTATAAGACTAAATTTATTATAGCTAATATTCCTATCACTTTATTTGCATTTATTGTGATTATTATTGTTATCGTTATTGTTACTGTTTTTGTTGTTGCCGTTATTGTTATTATTATTATTATTATTATTGTTATTGTTACCGTTGTTGTTATTATTGTTATTAATACTGCTATTGTTATCTTTACTATTATTGCTATTATTATCTTTATTATTATTGCTGTTATTATTAGATCCATATTATTATCCCATTGGAAATTTTTTCCTTATTTTGGGAAAACGTGAACCAGCGAGCACTGCATCTTGCTTATGCCGCTTGGACTATCCTTCTCAAGCGCTGATCTTAATTACCACTCTGGTCAAATCATTTTTTTTTT